GCAGTGGACCCTGAGTACGCAAGCAGCTGCTGGCAGACCCAGTGAGGCGGTGATTGTGGAGCAGGGCAGAGCTCACAACCCAGGATCCCAGAGAAGGAACTGAGATCTCTGGAGAATGGAACCTACCGCCATTGTTCCCTCCCGCCCCCGCCCCCACATACAACGTCACAATCTAGCAACTGGGGTGCCCAGCCCAGGTGAACACCTAAGGCTCCGCCCCTCATCGTAACAAGAGCGACCAGACCGGGAAAAAAGAAAAGGAGAGACAGAGAGAGAGAGAGAGAGAGGGAGAGAGAGAGAGAGAGAGAGAGAGAGAGAGAGATGTGTCTCCAACAGATGAACAGATCAGTCCCTCAGGACTCATCCTTCTGAGTGACTAAGAAATAGCCAATCTATCAGATGCACAGTTCAAAACACTGGTGATCAGGAAGCTCACAGAATTGGTTGATTTTGGGCTCAAATTACATGAAAAAATGCAGGTTACCATAAAAGAGATGAAGGAAGATTCTCGGAGAACCAATAGTGAAGGGAAGGAAACTGGGGCTCAAAACAATAGAGTGGACCAGAAGGAAGCAAGAAACAAGCAAGCAGGAAAGCATGAAGAAATAAGAATTCAAAAAAATGAGAAGCTTAGGAACCTCCAGGACATCTTTAAACGTTCCAACATCCGAATTATAGGGGTACCAGAAGGGGAAGAGGAAAAGCAACAGATTGAAAACGTATTTGAACAAATAATAAAGGAGAACTTCCCCATTCTGGTAAAAGAAATAGACTTCCAAGAAATCCAGGAAGCTCAGAGAGCCCCAAAGAAGTTGGACCCAAGAAGAAACACACCAAGGCACATCGTAATTACATTAGCCAAGGTAAAAATGAAGGAGAGAATCCCAGAAGCAGAAAGAGATAAGGAGACAGTAACCTTCAAAGGAGTTCCCATCAGACTGTCAGCTGATTTCTCAAAAGAGATCTTACAGGCAAGAAGGGGCTGGAAAGAAATATTCCAAGTCATGAAAGACAAGGACCTACATCCCAGATTGCTCTATCCAGCAAAGCTCTCATTTAGAATGGAAGGGCAGATAAAGTGCTTCTCAGATAAGGTCAAGTTAAAGGAGTTCATCATCACCAAGCCCTTATTTTATGAAATGTTAAAGGGACTTATCTAAGAAGAGAAAACAAAGAAAAAACATGTATAGTAAAAGGACAGCAAACTCACAATTATGAACAACCACACCTAAAGCAAAACCAAAAGAAACTAAGCAAACAACTAGAATAGGAACAGAACCACAGAAATGGAGATCACATGGAGGATTAGCAACAGGGGAATGGAAGGAGGAGAGAGGGGGAAAAGGTGTTGGGAACCGCCCTGACTGGTATCAGAAACTGAAACCCCCGCCTAGCTAGGCTAAGGGAACGCCCTTGGAACCGTGAGCCGGCAAGGAGACAAAAGCTTATCTTCCTGGCAGGAATGCTGCTTCTGCTGCTTTGTTCATAACTGAACCCCCCAAAAGCTTGGTCGGTTAGCCAAAGACGGGTAAGATTCCCCACGGGAGGGAACAACCCAAGCCAGGCACGATCACTTTGGGAGGCCCCCCCCAAAAGAAGGACTTGGGGGGCTGCAGCAAAGGGGGGTGATGGACCCTCACTCCTCGGCTTTGACAAAGTCTGAGTTCTCAGCGTCCGGAAGAAAATCTCCTTATCTCTCGGTGGCCTTAGTTCCCGCGCTCCACCTAAGCCTGAAACAATGACGGGGAAGTACAGCTTGGTACTGGGAAGTGCGGATTTCCCGGGGTGATCAGGCCTAAGAAAGAACATGTAAATTACTGTGAAATCTTCTTTGTTTAAGAATGCTCTCAGTTGAATGAGGAGGGTCTTAGGAGGAAGCTAGTTTGTTCCTCAGCCTTACAGCTCTTTGACCCCCCAACTCAATAGACCGGCAGAGTTCTTTGTTTTATATATTCCTTACTTCCCCTAATGAGTATTGTACATTACCTGAGTTATTATGCAAAATGAGCCTAATAAAAGCAGGTATGGACGGTAAATCAGCGCGCTCCCCACTAGGGGGGGTGGCCATTCTGTCCCTACTTCCCCACAGAAACTAGTTTGTCTCTGTGCATGTGTGTTTTTTCTCGCGTATTGTCGAGCCATCCACAGTGTGCCGTGGTCACTGCTAGCCGGTGACCCACGCGCAACAAAAGGTACAGAGAATAAGTAGCATAGAATGTAGTTTGAAAATAGATAGGGGGAGGGTAAGAATAGTATGGGAAATATAGAAGATAAAGATATTATAAGTATGACACATGGACATGACTAAAGGGGGGATATGGGTGGGAGAGGGTGTACAGGGTGGAGGGGAGTGAAGGGGGAAAATGGGACAACTGTAATAGCATAATCAATAAAATATATTAAAAATAAATAAATTAAAAAGAATTGAGGGGCAGATAAAGAGATTCCCAGACAAGGAAAAACTAAAGGGGTTCATCATTTCCAAACCACTATTATATGAACTGTTAAAAAGACTTATTTAAACAAAAGAAGATTGAAACTATGAACAATAACATGGCAACAAATACATGTCTATCAGCAATTGACTCTAAAAAGAAACTAAGCAAACAGAGACAGAATCGTAGATATGGGGAATGTTTTGACAGTTGCCAGATGGGAGGGTGGTATAGGAGGAACCGGTGAAGAGATGAAGGATTAAGAAGTACAAATCCATATTTACAGAATAGCCATGGGGATGTAAAGTTCAGTATAGGAAATGGAGTAGCCAAAGAACTTACATTCATGATCCATGGACATGAACAATGGTGGAGGGATTGACTGAGGTGTAGGGGCTGTTGGGTGGAGTGAGGCCAAGGGGGAAAAACTGGGACCAGTGTAGTAGCAAAATAAATAAAACATAATTTAAAAATACAAGGATTTCAGAATACTTCAACTTATGATTGCATGTCCTATTTACACATGGTTGCTTACAGTTTTTTAGTACTATACATTTTTATCTATGAATTAAATTATAGATATTATTATTTTATACAGACAATACTTATTGAAATTTACTTAAATGCATTCTCTCCCTGTCCACCCCCCCCCCCGCCCCAAATCCCCTTTTGGTCTACCTTTTCTTCTTGCGTCTCAGGCATTCTTTTAAGGTTATTTTTCTCCTATCTATGTTAATATTTTTTAAATAGAAGTTTTCATACTGTGCATTTCATTTCCACACCTCCACCTTCCCAACCAGGCATTTAAAAATACATGGGGACATTTTGTCATCACAATGATTTAGTGGTACTTCCTACCATTTTTAATGTGAGCTAGAGATGGCAAACATCTTGAAATACACATAGGACAAGCCCTGGCTGGCGTATCTCAGTGGATTGAGCGCAGACTGAGATCCAAAGTGTCGCAGGTTCGATTCCCAGTCAGGACACATGCCTGGGTCACAGGCGACGGCCCCCAGCAACTGCACATTGATGTTCCTCTCTCTCTCTCTCTTTCTCTCTCCCTTCCCTCTCTAAAAATAAATAAATAAAATCTTAAAAAAAAAAAAGAAATACACATAGGACAAAATAATTGTTCTGGTTCCTTTATGAATTTCAATGGTTTTGCTGGACATTCATGTAGATGAAAAAGCCTTTGATAAATATCTGAGTCTAGGAACTCATTCCATTAGATAAATCTGATATTTAGCAGTTTTAATACACTAAGTTTTCCATGATCATATAAACTTTGTAAATTAAGGAAAGAGTATTTTAATTTTTTTCTGAATTTTAACAATAACAGTTTACTATTTCAGAAAGTCACATCACTAATGGCTATATTAATCCTGGATTTGGGTTGCCAATACACGTCACTTGTTTTAGTCTATGTAGCTGTCACATTGCTGGTGATCTTATGCATGTGCACTCACAGGCATATGCATATATAGGTATTGAGATGTACAGCTTCACCCACACATAAAGTTACAAGAGTGCATACTCTGCTAAAATTTTTTTTCTTTATGTAGTCACGAGGAAATGAAGATTAAGAATACATTTTACCAAGAATCATGCTGCTAGGGCTAGCAGACATATACTTATGCCCCTGGAAGTAATGGCATAGACCTGAGTGTATTGATCCTGGCTAATATATAGAGTGTATCAGATGTTGTTGGACTGGGGAGTAAAATAAGCTGGATAAGAGAGAATTTAATGGCATGGTCACGTGTCCGTGGCTTGGGTTTGGGTTGGTTTATTGTAGCTTGGACATGACCTTAGTCTGGGCATTTATCAAGATTGAAAACTGGGTGAGGAAACATGATTATCCATTGCAGCTTCCCGCAGTTAGCGTTATAGGAGGTATCTCATGGAGTCTCTCTAAAATCCATCTGTGCCCTGCTACTTGTAACATAAATCTCTAATCCCTTAAATGTGTCAAAGAGCACCATTTCAGATGTGGCTCGTTTACTTCTCTAGCCTCCTTATTTCCTCACTTTAACTCTACTAACTCAAGTATCAGAATATGCTACCCTCGCTCTCCCAGGTCCCCATCCTTTGCATATAGCATATTGTTTGTTTTCACTTCTTTCCTCGAGTTTTCTATTGGATTAAAAGATGGTTCTAGGTTTCCACAACAATGGCACATTATTATAAAAATGAATTGCACAGAGTTGTACTCTTTAATTTCTTTTTGTGTTTGTTAGGTTATGAAGGCTTCCTCTTTGAAGGTCTCGGCAAGTGCTCAGTAAGGGGTAGGATTACCTGTTCAAGGAAATCAGCATTACAACATATCAACACCATTCCCTCTTCAGTTGAAATTTTCAGGCAATTTCAGTTTCACTTCCTTTATCTTTCTTTCACCGACCTTTCTCCTTTGCACTTTACCCGCCCCCCCCCAACCCCCCCTTAATCCCTCAGTTTAGGAGTTCGAGGGCACGCAATCCTCCAGGCGCTCCGCAGGTCCACTAAAAGCACTCCCGCCCACCTAGGAAACTACGCCGACGTGCTGACATCATACGTAGTGCTGACGTCTGGCTGTCCGGCCCACCTCTCTGAGTCGTCTAGAGATGTTTTTTGAGATTGCTAGTGGGCACCTTGAGTTCTGTTGGTACCGAAGACCAGTCGCTACGAGCACCAAAGGCGGGGCCTCGCGGACCCCTGCTTCCCCAAAGTAAGGAGACTTGTTTTCCGGATGAACTCAGGGGCAGCCAAGGGTCCACCCCAAAGTGCTTGCCGTGGTTTCCCGGGGAACGGCGCTGCACGTAGGCCGGGGTGGGGGCGCGGGTGCGCAATGAACAGCGTCTCCTCGGACCCAGAGTAATGGGCTTGGGCTTTTGATTTTTGACAGAGGATGGCCCATTTCTCGGGAGAGGACCAGGCGATGCTACAGGCGATGCTGAGGCAGTTGTTCCAGAACGTGAAGGAGAAAATCACTGGTGCTCCCTCCCTAGAGTGCGCCGAGGAGATCCTCTTACACCTGGAGGAAACTGATGAAAATTTTCATAAGTAAAATCGCTTTTGATGTCTTAAGCAAGCAAACCACCTGACCCAGAAAAGTAAAAATGTAGTTGGATAAAAAAATGGACCTTTGATTATTGTCAAAATATCACCCAAGTTGGAGATTTATTATTTCATTTATTCAAATACCAAATTTATTTATTTATTCTTTCCTTATTTCCCAAAACATCTGCTTACCTTGTTTTTACTGCCACACCGACATGCCCTAATTCTTCATTTCTTTTTCCTCCTGGGCAACACAGAAACATTAATTTTAAATTATATATGTTCTTTTGAGAGCAATTCTATTATTTCAAAGTAGTCCTGTCTGTATACCAAAAAACATTTGATTCTCAAGATTCCTGTTCCTTTGTTGATCTGATATCTCAATGGCTGCAGCAATTACCCATTTTGAGGACTGCAGAAATACCGAAGTGAGGTTATTAACTTCCTATGGAATAGCTTAAATTTCTATGAAGGAATAAGGCACACACTCAGGTGTCTATGATACTTGTCAGGAATATGTGTCGTAGGTAGATGTACGGAGTGCTCTGGGTTGGGGAGCAGTACAGTTAGGAAGGTGAGTGAGAGAGGTAAATTTCAGGTATATTTTGAAGGATGTTTCTTTTGATTTGATTCATATGATTCATATAATTTAAGCCTCTGCGTTGAAAAGTTTACTGCTGGGTGTGTCAATTTATTAGTAATAGTGGTGTTTTTAATTTAGCGTTTGCATTTTATTTTGATCTCACAGGGATGACATTTAAATTTTTTCCTTTTTAATATTAACCTTTATTGACTTTGGGGCGACCTGAACTTACCCTTATCTGAAACTTTTACTCATTTCATATATGGGCGTCAGGGGATCCTGGAGCCCTTTAATATTTTATGCAAAACTTTGTTTGCAGTTGTATGGAGGAAGCATATACCTTTTCACCAGATTCTCAAGGGAGTTTTAAAACATGGAAGAAATTTCTATTAATGTGGAGTTTCTAATTTCATTAGTGTTTCTGGTTATGCATATGGCTTCTTTTGTATTTCCCTGATTTTCTTGTTTATTTCTTCATTAAATCCACTACTAATAGCAGTTATGGATGTTAATTTCTGCTTTTTAATTTTTTTGTGGGAAACTTTTAAAACTTTTGTAATGAGTGCTTAGTTCATTAATTTGCAGCTTCTTTTTTTAAATGTAAGCATTTAAGGCTATACAATGACCTGTAAGTATTGCTTTAGCTGTCTCAATTTTAAAATGCTTTTCAAGCTAAAGATAGCTCATTATTCTAACAACTGTTATAATCATGTAATTTATTCAGTAGTTCATTAGGTAGACTAAATGCCTGTTGGTTAACTAGTATAGTTAATATTTACTGTTTACCGAAGAGATTTGTTTGTGGCCTACCTAAAAAAAAAATCCAGACACACTCATATTGTAATTAATGTATAGTCCTAAAAGTAAGATTTATAATCCTAACAGTATATGAGTAGTTTGTAGTGTTCAAAGTATAGATAGTAAAATTCATGTGTTAGTCTCACTAGCCTGATATCTGTGTCTTAGGTGGAAGGAGTCTTTATGTAGGGAAGGAACAGTGGAGCGGGGAGACTCTCCTTTTGGTATTTTCATACTCTTACTGTCTCACAGTTAGAAGAGACCCTATAGGTTAATTAGTTCAGGTGCTCATATTTTCATTTGTCTTTTTTTTCCACTGACTTAACTCTGTTTGAACACTACATGTTCTTAAGTCACTTAGATATGCCTTGCATCCCTACGTGTTTCCTACTGCAGAATATCTGTCCTCCCATCTCCACCTTCAGAACATTCCTTCTTTAAACCCCTCTGCTGTTGTCATGTTATTAGCAAGAAAAATAATCTTATTAAACAGACTTGCAGGGGAAACTGGTGTCCCTTAGGCCACTGGCATTTTTGTAAGAAAATGGTTGTTAAAGTAATTAAGTCCATAAATGATAGAATTTTAGGTAGTGTAAAAAAGTGGGCAAAAATGTAATCATGTAAGGAGAGACCACAATATAGGCAATATAGCCCTATCAGGTGATTTGCCCCAAGGGCAGCTGCCCTAAACTATTTCCGCTTTTCATAGCCTCTTCTAGTTTTTTTACTGTGATCTCTAAACATTCTCTAAAAAGTCCAGATTTTCCCCCTTATCTCTCAAAGTAGCAGCAAGGGTCTGAAGTCTGTGGGAGGTGAGCAAGGTAGGGAAAAGGACATTGCTTATGTTATGTGTGCATGTTTGTGTAAATTTTTACACTTGGACTGCCCCTCTTATAATACTGATAGCCCTGGTTTCAATATTGGCTACACGAATTGGGCAGAGGCTATTTACAAAATGTTGGTGAATGAAAATTTAGTGGGGCCTGGTAGAGGCTGGACCTTGGTGTTTTTGAAAAGTTCTCTACATGTTTCTGATATGCAGCCAGGGTTGACTTACTTGCATTTCAGTGTATATTGTATTACAGTGGTTCTTCCTTTATCCCAGGCGAATACATTCCAGTGCCCCCAGTGGGTTTGTGAAATCTAGGATAGGATCACACTCTAAATATACCATTTTTCTTTCTATTTACACAAGCTTTTTACATAAAGGAAGCACTTTATGGCTTTACTTTGGCATATCCAAATTGCCAGCATCACTACTCTTGTGTTTGGGATCATTATGAAGTAAAATAAGGTTTACTTGAACCCAGGCACTGTAATACCTCCACAGTCAATCTGACAACTGAGATGGCTAAGTGACTAGTGAGCAGGGAGCTGCCCGACTAGGGAGCTTGTCTGGTGTGGATATGCTGGACAAAGGGACGACTCTTGTCTGGGGAGGCCTGGAGCAAGAAGGCAAGAGATTTCATTATGCTACTCAGAATAGTGCTCAATTAAAAACTTATTGTTTATTTATGGAATATTCCATTTAATATTTTTGAACCACAGTTAACCGTGGCTAACTGAAACTGAGGGAAGAGAAACCACAGATAAGGGGGAACTACTGTCTGGCTTTACTTTTTTTTTTTTTAATACTTACCAACCCTAATGATTGTAGCCCTGAATCTGGTAATTTTGAAGGAACACAATAATATTGAAGGAACAAATAATATTTGTTGAATTGGGTTTATTCTTTAACAGAAGAATCTGTCAGTGACTTTAATTAGTGAACTCTATAGTGTGTTTCAGTATTAATTTCAAGAAAACAAAGTGCTATCCCTTTATAGAGAACATAAAGGGATAGCACTGTAATTAATTAGTGAAATTTTAGTGTTCACTATGTCATTCTGTAATTAATGAGTGAAATTTTAGTGTTTACTATGACTCAGAAGTTTTACTTTGGATCAAAAGGGTGCAGGTGATGTAAAATACTCATTGTTTTTACATAGCCTTTTATATACTAATATACATGGTTAAATTTATCATTTAATAAATGCCATGATTTTGAAATAGTGTTTTAAGAATTTCAAATACAGCATTATGATTCATAACTTACACTAATAAAATATATTTTTAAAACATACCTTTACTGATAAATTTTTTTTGTATATGATTGAAAAAGTTCTTGCTTATTTAAATAGCTAAGAGGATGATTTCCTGAAACAAACTTGTACTAGATTTTTTCATGTTGTGATAGTAGTCTCTGTGTCTGTATATTTTGAACATGTCAAAAATTCATTATGGAACAAAATTATTAAATTTTCTTGCAAAATCTAGGTAGTAAAGCTGTAAAGAAAAGAATGGAGAAATTGAATGTTCTTTCACTCAACTTTGTAAGATTTTCCTGTGTAAATGTGAAAAAAGCCATATTTATCAGTAGTAAAACAAAATGGTCAGGCATATTGCTATTTCAACTGAGCTGCTTCTGAAATGTGATGAGGTCATCATGTTTTTCCTTAGCATCAAACAACTGTCCTCTTAGGTTTTCATGTCTACCTCCCATTTAGGAATTTTTAGAGAAAGATGCTTTTGCATTTATCTGGTTATAGTGTCATTGAAACCAAATCTTTATTTTTCTTATTAAATTATTTTAAGGTGACAAATTAGATTAGTCAAATATATGTTGGTAAGAAAATATTCAATGTATAAGAAAATACTATGTACTAAGCACTTTTTGCATTAGGGTTATCGTCATCATTAGGTGGGGAAACTGAAATTTAGCAAGGTCAGATATTTAATCTAAGATTGCAAGATTGATCGGTGGGAGATGTGGAACTTAAACTTCATGCAAACCTAAAATATTATAATCTTGTTCTTTCCAGCACAATTAGAATATGTTAAGTCAGAAAGTGTTAACACAGGAGAGTCTGCTGAAAATAAATCTGAAAGGAAAAGGCCTAAAATAGTAGCAGAATTGACTTACATTAATCCTAGTAAGGATCCTCTAAAGTACATTATTAAAATTTTATGTATTTTTGTGGCAATTTTTGTATTTCTTAAATAGAAATTTGAAACATGGAGGAGATTTTTACCAGTACCTTCAGGGTTCCGAGTTTTGTAATGCCTGAAGCGAGAACTGTCAAACTGGCACCCTTCAGGTCATATTTGGTCGGTGGATATTTTGAAAGTCTCTTTGAGGCACAAATGGGTTTTATTTTTGTACGAAATGAGCAGACTATTGCTCTACATCCAGAGTAATTTCCAAAATTGTTGTAATGGGCTGACACATCTGTCATTATCAATGATCTTTTGGATTTAATATAGACTTCATAAGAGCAAATAGATGGCACCAATACTATCAAGGTTATAATGAAGGAAAGAAAGTACTTAATTTTGAAGAAGTATTTCTCCAAGTCATAACAACAATAAATATTTGTTGTATTTAAAAGTAATTACTACTTTTCCAGCAACTTCTATCTGGGAGCACCATCATAGGAGAACAACATACTGTCTAGTCTAGGATTTTATTGTCTATTGCCATGAATTCAGATGGTAAGAGAACCAATGCAAATGAATTCTCAGATGAGAACTTGAAGATGGGTTACTCTTACGCAAAGAGAAGGACCCATTTTAAAAAGTGACC